CGTCAGCTTCAGGTCTCATGTGCTTCCTCTTACCCTTTCTCTAGCAGCTCCCCTGATAGCTCAGGCACATTCAGTCTCAGTCCTTTCTCTCGCTCCCCTCTGCTGTGTTCTTGCCCCAGTGAACTGGGCCGAAATCCATATGTCTAAATTTTCCCCACTAGAACAAGTATTTCTGTTTTGTTACTGCTTTGTCTCCAGAGCTTAAGGTAGTTCTGGCACAGGGTAGATAGTTGACAAATATATGTTAAGTGGATGTACTTTTATTTTTTTATCAGTGCTCCGGATCAAAGCCAGGACCTTGTGTATGTTACATGCAAGTGTTGTACCAGTGAACTTTTTGTCACTGAAAAATGATGTAATTTCTCTCTGATGCTCCTCTCTCAATCTTGTTGAACAATTAACTGGATTCAATTTTTCAAAGAGTTAGGTAGTCTTATTGTTTTGGAGATGAGAACTTTTATATTGTAGGCTGGCATCAAATTTACTGTGTGGTTAGAGATGGCCCTGAGTTCATAACCCTCCTGCCTCTACCTCTGGAATTGCTGGGATTGTAGATGTTTGTCACCAAATCTAGTTATGTGTCCTGGGGATCAAATCCAGGGTTTTGTGGATGCTAGGCAAGCAACTCTAAGCTTTATTCTCTGTCTCTCTCTCCCCCTCACTTCCTCCCTCCTCCTCTCATTTTCTTTCTTTCTTTTTCTTTTTTTATTATATTTTATTTTTGAGACAGGCTCTTACTTTGTATTCCTGGTTAGCTTAGAACATGTAGATCAGGCTGTCCTCTAACTCACAGAGGCCTTCCTCTGCCTTCTGACTGCTAGAATTAAAGGCCTGTGCCACCACAGCCAGCTTTTATGTTCTTTTCTTTAATATTAAAAAAATTCTTTTCAGTCTGTGTGTGTGCAAAGCCAGGCAAGGATCTCAGATATCCTGCGTCACCACTCTTTATGCTTTATTTATTCCCTTAAGACATCATGGTCTTTCTCTGAACCCAGAGCTACACTGGCAGCCAGCAGGCCCCGTCAAGTCTCGTCCATTCCTCCAGTACTGTTCTTACAGGCACTTGACAACAGATGACTTTAAAAACAAACTAGCAAGTGTGGGTTCTTGGGGTGTGGACTCAGCCCTTCTGCTTGCACACCAAGTGTGCTTACCTTGTGCCATCTCCCCACGTCCAGGTTGCTTTCCTGGCACAAAACTGTATCCCTTTCAGAAGGGTTTCCTTCTTTTGGCACAATATTGACAAGAACCAAAAATTATGAAGACACCAGCTTTCATAACCTCAGTAGCCTGACTTCTTATTCCTTTGGGATTCTATTTGAGGCAGTTCCTATGTGTGATAGTAAGGATGAGAGAAAGCCCACCAGGATTGGGCAGCAAGTCATTTAGTTGCAGTGTGGTTTTCACATCTACTAAATTAGGATATGTTAGCTAAAGGAATGCATTGTGATTAATGGCCTGCATCAGGGATATGGATATAACTCAGTAGTAGATCACTTGCATAGCATGCACAAAGCCCTGGCTTTGATCTCAAGCACTGGAAAACAAACAAACAAACAAACAAACAAAACTTAGGAGTTGCAAAGTAAGTATTAGTGGAGGACCAGAAGAAGCTGCAGCAGAGTTTTGTCTGCCTTAGGCTCCACTAAGAGGCTAAGTTAAAATCGATTTCTGAAAACAAAGCAAGACTATATGGAGCTTCTAAAGAAATTTATGTGATCACAGGCATTTTATTCATTCAGGGTAGCATTTTGTTTGCTGTATGACATGAAACAAAATTAAGTCTTTGGGCAGATCTCTGAGTTTGCGGCTAACCTGGTCTACAGAGTGAGTTCCAGGACAGACAGGGCTACACAGAGAAACCCTGTCTCAAAACAAAACAAAACAAACAAACAGAAAAGAATCCTTGTTTTGTTACAGAATAGAATTGAAATACATAGCTAATAGACATTTCACTTATTAAAAACAATAGAAAAGGCAAGAAAACAAGTTCTCTGACCTACCTCTACCTCCCTTGGCTTGAAGCATCTGCCATCTGCAGGTACCCAAGTGTGACTCATGACTCAGACTTCCTGCGTTTGCACCTGATTCCTCCATGAGTCATGCTTCTCGGAACAATGTTTCTGTAGGATTTTGTCCTGAGCACGGTCGTGAGCCTTGTGGCTGTGTTGTTCCCTTCTCTGTGCTATCTAGCAGTGTCAAGGCATTGAGTGGTCTCAGCAGATCAGTTTGTTATCCTTCTACCCTTTTGCTCTTGGGTACTGTAGACTGAAGCTGGGACCTTCATATACTAAGCACATACGTGTCAAGAACCTATTTAAACAACGACTGAAATGTAGATCAGTTGGTAGAGTACTGTGTCCTGGGTCCCCTCCCAAGTGCTAGTGAGAAACTGGACTTGGTGGCAGTGGATGGCCCACAGAAAACGAGCTCAGTGGCATTGGAGGCTCCTTATCTTATCATGTCATGTCAGGGCCCTTTTTAAAAATTTCTCTTATTTTATTTTATTTATGTATAGTTCTCTCTTTTTACCTTGGCATATATATTACTTCTAGTCTAATGTTTTTATGGGATTCCTGAGTTTGTGAATGAGTGGGGGTCTCTGCACCTATATCTGTTTCTTGGGCCTTTTCTTAGGTTCTTTTCCTCTATTTGCTTTGTCCTATTTTGATGTGTTAGTTTTTCTTTTATCTTATTATATTATATTTTACTTTTACTCCTTAGAAGCATGTTTGTTTTCTAATGAGAGACAAAAGGGGAATGTATCCAGATGAGAGAGGAGGTGGGAAGGAACGGGTAGGAGCAAAGGGAGGGGAAACCATAATCAAGACATATTGTATGAGAGGGGAAACCTGTCTCATTTGTTTGTTTTGTTTTTGAGACAGGGCTTCT